CGGCGTTCATGTCATCGTCTTTTCCATTTGCTCCTCCTCTCCAAATGGGACTATTGGACGGCTCCTGAAGCTGCCCTCTTTTCTTAACCAGCGACTACTGGTAATAGTAGTTCAGTTGGTTCCCTGCTACCGCCTATCATGCTTATGATTGTTCTTCGGGGCGTCTATCTCGAGACCCGACAAGAAGAGAGCTGACATCTGATAGATGAAGTACGCTCGGCTTCGCCCTCTCCGCCTTGTGTCAACTTGACAGGTGGAAGCCCGTTTTTCAGCGGGCGACTGAGTCGACGGAGGCGCAATCCACGTGTGGTTTGCATAACGCCCACGTTCCCCCCGCCAAAAATGCGTGGAGGCCTCAACGTTGTGAAGGATCCTCTAAATCCTGCGCCTATTTCTTTTCTTTTTCGTCGCCTTTCTTTTCTTTTTGTGCGTTTCTTTCTTTGCTTTTTTTAAACTTTCGGAACGGGAAGGGCTGATCGAAACAGAATTCTGAATTTTCTCGAGACACAGGTGACAGCAGGCGAAGTATGTCCATCGATCTCATCCGTCCTGGAGTGACTACATTCCCTCCGTTGTGCCTAGCGCCGTATAGAGTACGTCTCAGCCAGTTTGTGTGTTTCGCAACCGTCCTGCCTGGCAGCTTATGGGTCGTTGTTGCAGCAGGGTCTTGCACTCCTCCTGATGAATAGCAACCCTGAGCTCACTTACGGGATCGACGCCTCATCCCTTGACGTGAGGATGCCCGTCGTGAGGGTTGGGAACTTGGAATAGCCTACTCCGTATGATCTGAGTGAATAGATGGGTGGGAGTTCATCTAATTATTGCGACTTCACGCGCGCGTATCCATCTAGATAGATGTGTATACGCATGTTGCGTAATTATGTTCAGACGATGGCATATATTTTGCTGTCTATTTGCCCTCCTTCTGGGACATATAAAGCCAAATGGTAGCTATGAGGTGCCGACAGATTACGTATCATGAAAGGGGGCCATGAATCTACAGTCAGGTCGCAGTTTGGACTCTTGTGGAGTTGACGTCGGAACGACCTCACTGTCACAAGAGCCACGAGGTTGAACCATATATATATATATATATATATATATATATATATTTGAGTTCACGCCAGGAAACTGATGTCGTTGGCAACAAACCTGAATTTTTAGCAGCCATATCTGCACTGGCAAATCCAGTTATCCCTCACTGAGGGTGATGGAAGCTTACATTTCACCTCAATGGAGGCAGTTTGATAAGTTGGCATTGCTCAAAGGAAATGACAAGCTAAGTTGGTTGTAGCAAGTATACAAGTATACGATCTAATACGTCAAGACATATCTATACATTTAGAACTCTTGGGTGGCCAAAGTGGAGAGCGAATACCGCCACCACGATCATCCTGTGTCATGCAAATTGTCAGAAAACCGAGTGAAATTTATATCCACTGCCAGCAAAAGGTTCATGGCCATGGGCAGCCCGGAGCTGCTAAGGGGAAAGGAGATGAGGTTGTGGGATAAGGGTGGTGGGGAGAAACTTACCCTCCTTCAAGCGCAATAAACGGGCCTTCCTTCGTGATTAACTTCCCATTAAATCCATGAAGCAACTCCGCGACCCGGTATATACATCGAATAAAAATCAACAAAATTGCCAACGAAAACGCAGGGAAAAAAATGTACAAGCGCCCGAGCGCCGTACAAGCAGGCCCACCAACACTAACTCTACCCGCCTTTATCTCATAGTCATTAACCTCCTTCCACAGATATCCTCGTCGGTAAACCCTGGTAAACAACTCCAGCAGCAACACAATAAATACAAACAAACTCAGCACCTGAAATACCAACCCTGCAACCATGACATCAACACCCGCAAGCCGATTCTGCCTCTTTAACATCGCATCACTCGCGATCCCACCTCCTAGGCCTTGCAATAAAAGACTAATAAAATCGCAAGGAATGAATATCCACGCATACTGCCTCGGATCCAACCGCGACGTGCCCTCACACCCAAACAGCCGAGCGATATCTGTCATGCAGAAATAGATCGCCGCGGTGAAAAGCGCCGGCGCGATCGTGAGGGCGCATATCTGTATCAGGAAGCCGTTGAGGCTGAACGGGTCCCTATTTAGCATGAGTCGTCCAGCGTAGCCGATTATCTCGCCCACGCAACCTAGGAGGATTGGCACTGTGAATATAGCATGGCTTCGCCAGATGGAGAACTGGATGAGGTGGATTAGGGCGGAGAGGGCGAAGAGGCCGATGAAGAGTGCGTTTGCGGCCAGGGAGGGCCGGTATTCGTATATGCTTGCTTCAATCGGGCAGCTGTATCTGGAGCACCCATAATAACCCATGTCGGTTCACTGTCGTCTTCAGTCTAGAACTTGAGAAGTTGGAGAATGCTCCGTTCAGTGGGTGCGTGGGGCATTGGAAATCGGCCGCACGGTTGAGAGTAACCACCAATGTTTGGAGATATGATACAAAGCCGAGCCTGGCGAGCTGGAGAAAGCAGGAGACCGTGTGTAACAGTCAGTATGGTCTCTTCTTTTTCATCCCTTCATAAGTGTGGCACATCAGGGCATCCTGCGCGAGTGGGCAACCGCCAATGTTGTATTATAAGGCCCGTATCACAAGGCCCGCCACAAAGCAAAGCTAAATTATGTAGGCACAACCCGCCTAAACAATATAAATAAGAACGTGCATTGCCACATGGATGTTCCTTGGTGGGTTTCGCGCGCCAAAGGACAAAAGCCATTTATTTATGGACTCGATATCCGCGAGCGTGTAGCGTGGGCGAAGTCAGGGCTGACTCACTGAGTTTCGTTCCGAACATTCGCCTCTTCCCCGCCCCCCTTGGTAGCCATGGTCTGGAAGGTCAGGCAGAGAAGCTGGGATAGAAATGGTCTGACTACAACCCGTTGGTGCTTCGCATCGGTTGTGGAGTTTTCTCAATTGTTGAGAATCGCTGAGCTAGATTATATATTCATCCCTTTCCCTTCCAAAACCCATTTGCGAAGCCAATTTCACCCGTGGCAATCTGACAAAGCATAGGTTGCGTCTTGTCCCCTATGTTTGACTTATAGCCGACCCGGTATAGTGGCTGAAGCGAGCAATGTTCCACGGACGGCTTTGCTGTTGTGCCAGAGTCGGGAGAACTTTTCGCTGGGTTCCATGCCACTTCAACCCGGCACAGAGCGCTGCCCGAACCCGCCAACGCCATGATAGTAAGAATAGCATACGTTTCCTCGTTGTAGATGAATGGGAGGGACAGCGTTATGCCACGTGAACGGAGCAAGAACTACGCGTGATGTTAAATATCTAGTGGTTATATGAAGGTGGATTTGCCTGTGTTTGAACATGTGTTTCTATTGTGAAGATTAACTTTTATTTAAAATGATACATAATAATGATAGAGAAAATACTCATTATAATAATTAAAGAAATCCTTTCAATCTTCTGCATGACATTCACTATAACTCTTTATTGAAACATTGAGCTTTCATCAATGATGATGACTCTGAAGAAAATCAAGATGCACTTTATGATAAGATTTTAATTAATGAATGAAAGATATTTATTGATGCTATGAATAATATTTTCAATGATCAAATGAAAAAGAAATGCTAACTCTTAGCAGTATTTAAAAATTAAAATTCAATATCTGAGAATATTATTGTCTGCAGTGATTAAATCCACATTTACTATTTCACATTACTCAGATGAATGCAGAACAAATCTCATAAAACATGTTGATAAAAAAAATATTATTTAAATTTTTAAAAAATAATAAAAAAGTCTGATTTCAGCTGATCTGTGTGTTTTTTCAGATGAATTAAAGCAGAATTCTGATAACAGCAGATAAATGAGTTATGATTTTATTAATTTATTATGAAAACAAATAGCTGATCAGTTTCTCTACAGCACTGAGTTATATATCACATATTTTTAATCTCATAGCAGCAGTCATTACCTGCCTTCAGCTGTAGAACAGAGTTCAAATCAATATACACAGCAGAACTGCTCTGTAGTATCTCTTATGCAGACTGATAAAATTGAATAAAAGAGTTAATCATAGAAACATTAGCAGTCAACAATATAAGAGAAGAACATGGAAAAGCAAATGAATAAATAGCAAGCAACACAATACGAATATGATTAAACATGTTAAAATGTATGACAGAGTTCACACTATTTACAATATCTGCATCAAACTGCAGGTTGTGAATTCACATTTGTGCAAAACAGACATTCTATATATGCATGTTGCTAAAAAAAGGGGAACCCCCAAGTTTAATATTGTATATTGTAACTATGGTAGAAGGGGCAACTAACTAATTCGAAAAAAAAAAACGAGAGATACGATACTAAACAATCCAAGTTGAGAAAAAGGAAATGAAATATCAAACATCAAATATCAGATATGGAAATGATGATGGAGATGAAGATGGAGATCCAAGGATGAGAAGAATTTCATCTGGGGCAGAAGCTCGTAGACGCAGAACTCTCAATCAACGACGGCATGGTCTTCCGCGTCCAGTAAATCTATATCGACGACGATTCATCCATGAGCTCCCTTCAGAAAAAAGATAGAAATAAATAACATACAAAATCCCACAAATAACATTCAGGAAAAAGATGAACGAACAAAATGCCCAGGCCCACGCCCACGCCAAAACGAATAATAGCAACGGAAGGAAATATAGAGAAGAATCCCCCCCCCCAAAAAAAAAAGAAAATAGAAATAAAAAAATAAAAATAAATGAATATAAAAGGACAACATCCTTCTATCGAATCACCCAAATCGGCCCATCCCTATCTGTTCGGTTCCAAATCCATTCCGTGAAATTGTCGTATCCGCTCGCCTGTTGCTGGATTTTCAATATTCCCTCCCCCCCCCCCCCCCCCCCCCTTTCCCCTTTTCCCCCCCGCGCCAACCAGCAAAAGCAATGCTACGGCTATACAAATAACTCCCGGGTACGTGCTGGAACGCAAAGCGATTGCTTTGGTTAGTATCACCAACGTCGTTTCCCACGAGATTTCCAATCTCCATACTCAGAGTTCTCATCACTGGCACCATAACCATCGCTACAGTCATCATTACCACCGTCCCCATCACTGTGATCGTCATCGCCATCGGCATCGCCGTTCCAATCACCCTCGACAACATCGGGTATAGGCACGCCCTCCCAAGCCACCAATCCTCCAGTCCCACAGGAAAATGCCGGGCTCGGCACGTACGTCGGCCGCGGCGTGGCGACCGTAGATGCGCCGTTTGAATCGCAATAGCTCTCTTCCGCATAGAATTGGGGGGCTGATGAAGTTTCTATCGGAACGAGGACGGGCGTTGGGGCATCGTCGCTGTCTAATTGTGGCGGCGAGAATCGCAGGTGATCTTCCTTCTGCTCCTCCTCTGTTGCGGGATGGACATAGACTTCGCCAGTGAGTAGCGGGGTTTTGGCGTACCGTTCCATATCTTGGTGTATGACCGGGGCTACGAACTCGTCGAGTTCGTCCCGGTTTATCGCGAGGCGTTGTGCTTCTGTGAGGATGCCTACATCGCTAGGTGCGGCGGCACATTGTGAGCCAATCTGCGGAGTGTATATCTGGGACATGGCTGGAGGCTTTACCGGCATGTTTGCCTGGTTGACAGTATTGATCTCGGGCTCTAGGAACCCCAGCGCAGCCCCCCATTGGTCCTCAAAGGAACCTTCTACTTGGGAGGCGTAGGCTTCTTCTCCGCTGTCAGGTCCAAGATATTTAACGCACGTATTGTATGCCGAGCAGTCGGTGTCCTGATCGAATCTGATGGAAGTCTCTGAGTTATATTCATCTGGAATCTCTTGGAACCTCGCGTCGCCAAAATAATTACAGGAGTTTGGCTCTGTAAGCTCATATCCTTGTGAAGGCATTATTCCACAATTAACTGGATCCATCAACATACGGCCTGGCATATGGGGCGTTTCTAGTACATTGCCATAGTATTGGTATCCGAATGTATCGGGAATTGGAGCATTTGTGATCGGGTAATTGCCTTGCACGTCAATTTCATTCGATGTTAAGGCACCGCCAGCATTGCTCAGCGGAGATGTGAGTTGTGGATGGTAATTGCATCCATGTGGGTTGCAGCAGCCATAGCAAAATGTTATATTTAGCGACGGACTTTGAGCAGTGTAAGCCATCGGGGGCTTTGTGGGGCGGGTGGCGATTCGGCTGTCCTGCTAGCAATATATCCTTTTGTTTTGCTTCAATCTGGCCCGGTTTGGTTGGAATGCAGGGAGTGGAAATAAACAAAACGGAGTATTTGCGACTTGTTTGAGACCCTATAGCGGAAATTCCTTTTCATCAGTATGGAGGTAACGGAGACCTTCGCATTTCACGTTGAAGGTGAAAATACACTCACACCTACTACCCGCCCTCTGGAGAACGCCCCCAAAAAAGATCAGCGAACTAGCTAGCTTCAGCCGAAATCCTCAGCTGATAGGCCCTTGATCGAAGCAGACGTAAAACGAGAATTTAAGCAGAGAAAGAAGCTGGTGGCACATATTCGACAATAACATGGTAATGTAGGAGGCATGTTATATAGTTATCTATCCCCCGCCCTACCGAGTTGTCTCTTGAGCGTAGGGCTCTGTTCGGAAATATCAATTACCCGTCAGGGTGAGGCGGGATGTAAGTGTTATTCCATTATTGTAGCGTATTGTTGCTATTAGCACTGCCACGGAAAGTGAAAACAGTGCGCCTAGATGGCCACATGGATAGATGAGAGAGGATGGTTTAATCCGTGAGCCTCAGTGCACGGTTGCCTGCAGCGTTGCTTCTCATTGCTGGGATTGAACAAAGTCCAGAAGAGTCAGGAAAACCAGGATCCGGGGTAACTCAAGGCATAATACGCCTGATTCCGATAGCCGCGAATGTGGATGTCATCGCTAGAAGGAGGAAAAGGTTGAGGCGCGTAATGGAAAACAAAATTGGGTTATGCCGCGCGCATCATGGAATGGAATGCCTGTCTAGGTTCATCTGGAACGCCTGGGAAAAAGTAAAGAGAGAAAGGGAAAAAAAAAAAAAAAAAAAAAAAAAAAAAAAGAAAAGAAAAGAAAAAGAAAAATAAAGCGTAAACTAAGAAAGAAAGTGAATAGCCGATAAAAGTTTCTCGATCAACGATTGAAGCCACTGCTACTATGGAGGAATGAGGGATTTCGTCGTGTCTTCTCTCTTTGCCGAGATTTTTGACTCTCTTCAGGCATTGTTCTCGATCGTGTAGTTGCAAGGCTTTGTATTTCTTTGTGCATTGGACACTGAAACACACCAGAATGAAGGAAACACGAATAAAGAATACATAAAAGGGTCCAAAAATCATGTAAGGAAAATAGAAGAAACGCTGTCACAGCAACTTCAACTTCATCAAAGATGGAAATTTCCACGGCATAATTGCATGCATAGGTTGGTCACTTAGCACTCGGAGATTCATGTATCGTTTCACCAACCTAGCCTTCAACAATCGGGATGCAGCCCGGAAATAACCAAGGGCGGTCAAAGACTCAACACGGAACATACCTCGGCGTTCATATAAAATTTATAAAACATCTCTGTCTGCCTCGTATGATTCATGGCCACTCACATTTCAGGCATTTATCCGTCAAGACCGGGGCGCATGGTGTGTTTGATATTGCGTAAACATAGCCTCCCATGTTTTTTCATTTGATGAATAGAAATACTCTTTCCTTTGCAGATCGTGGCATATCATGCCGCACACACCGGGGAGTCGTAAAACGCCATGAAAACGCAAGGTTGCAACCCATATCCTTTGGTAATACGACTTCCTCCCTGCGAGTTGATTGTTAAGTGCAACAACAGAAATCCGGCCGTCAGCGGGGTGCGATATGTGTAGTGAGATTTTGAATATCTTGCGCCGGGATTGTCTGAGTATCCCTGCGAATAGAGAGACAACACATTTTCTGAGCTGCGGTACTCGTGATGAGGAGGTATGAAAAGTGTCAGGACCCATTGCAGGCGAGAGTAAAAGAGGCCTTATTGGAAACGAAAACGAAGGTTTGGGGAAAATGAAAAAGGTAATTTTTATTGAAAGTGACCATGCGAAACGGGCACTCGGAGCGAGAAATAGGGGTTATCGTTTGAGATAAACAAACAGGAAGAATATAGATGTATGTACTGTTTAACCAAGAAAACAACCAATTTACAATCCAATCGCTGTACAATTAGACACAACGGTGCATGGTTTCTTCCAACAGCCAAAAAGGAATACGTTAAGAACATTAGAAACAAGGAAAATATGTGAAAGGGTTGGTTTTGTGGGGCCATGGGCGGTGGGGTAAAGGGGGGTGGGAAGAAAAACACACATCATGCATAACGGAGGGATATGGGCAAGAGATCAAGAAAGAAAATATTATCAAACAAATCTAAAGAAATGACGGGAATATAGCAACCCGAGCGCGTTCCCTAATCGCAACAATGTCCGTCCGCACAGAAGGGAATTTGTCGTTCCTAACCCAATCCAAAATCACCAACCTCGACACGGATATCCATACGATTGGAAAAGGATTGTGAGGGCTCGAATTATAGCTTGGCTCCCTACATCCGAATACCGAGACAGGAGCTTGTCACCGGCCAAAGGTTTCCAAAATGTGGTACCGGAGGATTCGGTTTTGGCAAAAGATAGAGATATCTTGGTCGTCTTAGAGACCTTTTCTTCAAGGCCACCACCGGGCACGCATGTGTAAGCATCTTCCGGTCTCAACTAGCTTCCACGTGTATGCCATTTCACTGACATTAAAACCACCGCTAAACAACGCACGTCCCCTACACCCCCCCCCTCCCCCGCTCTCCCGGGGTTGGGAACTGGCCTCCACCTGGCCAGGTAAAATTCGTTATTTAATGGCCTCCACGAGCGGCCTTGCGCCGTAGATTCCATCGGTAGAGGGCAAGAATAAGCAGGCCACAGGCGATGATGAAGATAATGCAGAAAACCAACATGACACCGACGTTTCGACTGGGCCAGTTGTCTCTTCTGGCGAGTTGATGATAAACGGCCTCATCTCGGGGGATCAAGCTGAGAGCAGGCATTGTAATTGATTATTATTAATTTTTTTATTTTTTTTTTATTTTTTTATTTTTATTTTTTTTTTTTTACAAGGGTAAATATATTCGGATATGTTAGTTAGTACCTGCTTAAGATCCAATTCATGTATTCGTGCGGGTCTTCCGGGTCTGCGCCAGCTGATGTTTCTCAAACTGCCGTTCGCGCAGAGCCGAAATGGAGGGGCTCCCCGAACCAATGCTTACAGGAAGTTGTATCGCTGGAAGGAATTGGAAAGAAATAACCCGTCCGCTCTGAATTTCTAATCAGGCGGCTCAACTGCACCGATACATGAGTTAGCCGGATGGGGTTTAGGTTAAACAAATGCGACAAATGGAAATCAAAAAAGGAAGTTAAAAAAAAAATGACATTTCCAAGAACAAGGCTCAATGATTCAGATGGTGGTGGAATCGCGATTGATTGGCGAAGTGAGCGCTGGTGGTGGAAATGGCGGGAGCTGAGCATCGGGGATGACGGAGCGAAGCAGTACTTACAAGTCAAAGCGCAATTGGAGCAGGCGGACTCAGAGTCGTGTCGACAGGAGAGGGATTGGGAGAGGGATTGGGAGAGGGATTGGGAGAGGGATTGGCGGAGGAAGCAAGATGCACGAAGAGAGGAGCAGATCAAGTGGAAGAGATTTCGGTGAGGAAGGTGGAGGAGAGGAGAGGAGGTTGGCCGGTATGGTATGGTATTGGCCTCGTGGTGACAGCGTGACCTGACCCTTTGCCAAGAGATAAAATACACTAATAGGGGTTGATATCACATCTTTATTAACTACTACAGATGTACTCCGTACTCCGTAGTTAGTTATTATAAGTATAATGTTGCTCGTTAACCAGTTGTCAAGAACTTATATTATTTAAATAGTATAAGATTAGTCTCTCTACTCGTACATATATATATATATATATTATTTCAACCTAGATTCAATATCGAAACAGATTCAACTCAACTACGACAATCATCACCATTGACCCCCACGCCACACAATTAAGAAGGACTGGTATTATGGTACAGTACATCCACTGTTGCCGGGACACAGGGAAACACCGGGCGCATCCATTGACAGCCCGTAATAAATACCAATTTACAGACAATTCCTCCCGGGGATTGATTGAAAGGAGAATGGGAAAAGAAAAAAAAAAAAAAAAAAAAAAAAAAAAAAAAAAAAAAAAAAAAAAAAGAAAAAAAAAGAAACTCAGTTTAAATCCCGCACTCCTCGGGACCATCGGCAACGCCAACCACGGTTAATGGGGGCTCGTTTTCAGAAAGAAGAGGTTGGAAATTTGGGCAAAAGAATGGCAAAACAACCCGGCGACGAACGTAAAAAATAACGGATGTTCCTCAACGAAAAGGGTTCTTTTTTATACTTTCCCATGACAACAAACTCTATTCAAATAAACTCCCCTCCTCTCAATTGAAGTATTTTTTCATTATCAAGCAACTCCGGATGTTGTTCGTTAACCTGGTTCACCCGGGAACTTCTGATCTGCATATGTAATTACAGTACGAGAGATGGTATGTATTGCCTGTATGGTATGGGACGGTGCTATCAGCACCATGAATTATGTCATCGCTCACTGAGTCGCGGCCAAACGAAATATAGGCTTTGTCAACGTTGTTGATGCGAGTAACGAGTACTAGTACTACTATCCACCACAGGACAAATAACTCGCTCCACTTCGAGGAGCTGGCTGGTTATAAAATGGCACTCTTGGACCCGCTGCGTACAATGCAATATCATGACGGGGTGAGAACGAGTGCTCCGTACTCCTGGGCCCGTTTGACCCGCCTGCGTCCGAAGACAGATGACAGATACGGTACGGAGTAGTTATGCGGAAGGATCAAGCTTTGTCTTGGCAGGGCTTGGCCAGCCGGGCATCTAGTGAGCATCTCTGGGCATTCCATCTCCAATCTCCATCTTGCAAGTCATGTCATCCCGCCCTTTTAACCCACTGCCTGTATGCCCCATCCCCATTCAGTGGGATGTGCCAGGACGTATTGCAGAGCTGCGGGCCATTATTGATGATCCTGCCACCAGTGAAGCTCAGAAGATAAATCTCCAGACTGTAATCAAACTCTATCATGACAAAGGTTCCCAGGACCATTGAAATGGATCCAGGATGGCAAAGTTGTTCTTCTCAAGGACATCAATTTTGACCGACCGTACTGGTCTGAGGTACTTCCAAAATGATCTGTCAGGTCCTGTGCTCACCTTCTGTTTCAACCCAGGGTTTTGTCCAACAGCAATCCGCACAAATTTTGATTCCTGATAGGTCAGGGTACAACCGGACGGGTGCGGTAGCTTTTGGCGGCGTGGTTGAAACAAGAATGTTCTTTTTTGTTGTTGTTGTTGTTGTTGTTGTTGTTGTTGTTGTTGTTGTTGTTGTTGTTGTTGTTGTTGTTGTTGTTGTTGTTGTTGTTGTTGTTGTTGTTGTTGTTGTTGTTGTTCATATTTTTTCTGAGGCTATCTATGCAGTCAGAGACTACGACAAACTTCACCTCACTAGCCTAAGCCTACCCTTATGTTCAGCTGCTCTCTAGTTACGTTTCTCTAGTTACATTTTTCTATTCATAACTGAGTCATTCTTAATGGAGATACTTCACTACATCATTCTGGATCTAGTCCTCAAGGGGGGCCCTTGCCCCCAAAGAAATGCTATGACCATCGGACCCCCATATTATCTCATATGATGTCAACACGACAGCTCATTATTAACTAATAGTTACACCTGATCTCATCAGGTCTTCCCAGAGATGGGATCCTGTGAGCGTTCCCACGAGTCAGGGACTCGAGCTTCTGCTGTTGCTGTTTGTTTCGAAGAGTGGCTTTCAAACCAAGCCAGGCCAGGTTATACATACATACCCATGCCAGCAGATAACCCCACGATCCTCCTCTCCATTCGACTGCAACATCGGGTTCAGCTCTACCACCAGACCTTATCCCGTGGAACCCCAGTTCGAGATGGGAAAAAATCAATCGGGTGCGCAACGTGTTGATTTTCCTAATTGCGCGGTTGTTGAGATCGTGGCTGGCATTGGAATTCAATCCGCCATTCTCCCCTTTCAAGATCATCCACCCGTCTATCCAGCCATCCAGCCATCCAGCCATCATCTATCGATGCTCCTTTGCCTGGGAATTGAAATACCACAAAACGTCAATCTGGCAGAAAGGCTATGCTACTCATTTATTCATGTGATTTTTATTTATTCATTTATTTTATTTTATTTTATTTTTTAAATTAATGCCTTTCAGCTGTGATAAACATGCACGCCGAATTGGGGATATTCCCCCTGCCTTCCCCCTGCCCGCACCGCCAGAAGACTGTAGCTTCGGCTTGAATTCAAATCCGACCCCAGGCGGGGTGTCATTCTCTGCCGTTCAGCGCTTCGAGAGTTGTAAGTACACCGCTTCCTCTCAATTCTTCATTGGCTGGTAAGCGGTATCCACGATCTCTGGTCATATTTCTCCGAAGTGAATGGAATGGACCCTGGGAGAAGATATATATTTTTAGTTCCGGAGTTACTCAATTCCCGAGGAACGCTCCGTGTAGCCATTTTCTATTGGAAGGCCAAGCGTTTTGCCGAATTCAACTGTAGATTTGTATGCTCGTTACGGACGTAAAGTGGTTTATTTGGGGATGGTAAGCATTTAGACTTTCCTCGGGGTCCCTACGCTTTTGATCGCCCGGGTTGGACCCTTTCTTCGTGCATCTCAGGAAGATGTTTATGGCAGCCTTCAAAACTAAAGAAACAACAGAACCCATGCCTACATACACTTGCAGTATGGACTTCTTTGGATCATGACGCCCAATTCGCCGCGCTGCTTATGGATGGCCTTGCATGCAACAACGAAAAAACCCGGACCCTTATGAGATGGTCTAACTATATATGCCACAGCACCCAATCGGCCCCTCTCCGCTTCCAACAAAATAGCAAAATAACAAAAGTAAGCCCAAAGGGGAAAAAGGACAGAAAAATATAAAGAAAATACAACAGAACAGAAAGAAAACCAAACATGTCCAACCCCACCAACAACCACTCATCCCGCTTCGAGATCCGTCAACTCCGCCCAGAGCACATCGAGTGGGCCAAAGCCGTGCACTCCCACAGCAACAGCTTCTTCTCCCCCATCTGGCCAAAACTATACCCCAACCTTCCACCATGGCGCATCCACGAGTTTTTCTCCGCCTTCGACCACCTGGTACGCCACCAGATCGAGTCCGGCCTGTCCTACGGCGTCTTTGACACAGAATATAAATTCAAGAACCCGGAGTCCGCAAAGACGGGCGGGAGGCTATACTGGAAAGAGCCTACCACAGATATCGAAAAGGAGGCGACGACACAGCAATCCCTCCTCGACCAGATGGACTTCCCGCTCGTCTCGATCGCTCTCTCCCTCGACGCCTTCCACCCCTTCGAGATGGAAAAGATGATGCCCCTATTCGCCCTGGCCCCGGAGTTCGCCTTCATCAACGCCCAGATTAGCGAGAGGGACACACGCGATCCGGCCATGTTGGAGGACCCCAGCGCTCCCGGCCAGATCCTGCGACGCAACTCCACCGCCACGCGCGCGGACTATATGGGCCTCGGGCTGATGAAGATGCTCTCGCATTATCTCATGAATGAGGCTGCGGGCAAAGGGTTTAGAGAGATCAAGATCGAGACCTTCAGCGATGCTGTGTTCCGTGTGTGGACGAATCCGCCGTCGCCATACAAGGCGGAGGTGGTGTGTGAGTTGAATTTGAAGGAGTTTGCGGGCGAGGTGGAGGCGTTTGGACAGACGTTACCCTTTAAGTATGTCGACCAAGTGGTTGCGAGGGTTTATGTGAAGTTGGAATGATGGATGGATGGATGGATGGGGGTAGAATCGGCTGGTTTTTTTTTAGACTTCTTTGCCCCAAACCTTTTTTTTTTCCATCCTGCTTGCGGCGTGGCTAAGACAGTCAAAATAAAATGCATTATTTGTTTTCACTTTGCTCCTTTCCTTCCTTTGGTCTGTGGTGGGAAATATGCGAGACACTTCTTGGTATATTCTCGACAGCTCTAACTAATCGACTTGATCCACAACTAACCAACTCGCCATTGGGATGATTAAATGATTTTATCCGGGGATGAGCGGGGAACTAATTGACTCTATGGACCAATTGAGAGCAGGGCATCCTGGCGGAACGGAAACTTTAACGTTTGCGAAGCTGTCTCTTGATTCTGTTGAACAATTGAACAATCCGACTTTGCTAATCCATACAGTCTCTCAGCGCTCGATCAAGACCCCGCAAATTGAACTTTATTTTTTATTTTTTTTTTTTTTATTTTTTTTTTTTTTTATTTTATTTTATTTTTTTCCCGCTGTTGAATCCAAGCTGGATGTGGCTTTTCTTCTCGTTCTACAGCTCCCCGTGACTGTTTTCGAATGTGGCTTGACGCCCACGGGTCGATATCCAGGTCTTACTCGCCAGTAACAACATCCGTCTGGGGTCGGGAGGGGCTGAGGGTGATTCGTACTTTCTGAGTCACTCCAGCACCTTCAACGAGTCACAGTGCTGAATGCTGATGCTGACTCCTCGCTCGACACAGATATAAAATGGCGGTAACATCTCGTGGGGAAGAAATTGTTCCTCTGAAGTTTAAAGTCTTGTATTTCTCTTTACATATTCTTCTTGCGTGTCGGGGAAGCTGAACTATCATCAACGTGCACACACACACACACACCCGCTCTTCACCAAGAACTTCAACAGTGAAAAACATACGTTGTTGAACTCGATACCCTGACTTCAATCATGGATGATGAATGGGTGGATATTACCCCTACTAAGGGACCTCTTCTCCCCGCTTACCTAGACGAGCTTCCAGTTCGGAAAAAGGAGACCCGCATCGACCCAAAGCCCCTATACCAGCGGATGGCGAAGCGCGCAGTTGATGTTCTGAACTCGCGCCCCGCCGCACCGATTTTTCATGTCAACATGAAAAATTCTACTATCAAAATGAACGCAATCTTCGAATATGCTTTCCCGCCCGAGCACCGCTCAGAAGTTAGGTGCAATACTTGTGCTCACTTCATAAATCGCTATGGAGACCTTTGCATCGTCGATGACTCGACCGGGAAACTAATCCCGCTCTTCTGGAGCGAGGATAAGTCTCTCCCGGTCCTCTTCCGGGCTCCCGTCAGCGCCATGTGCAAACTCTTTGAAGATGGAACAGTAGCCAAGGAATATAGAATCACCAGCAATAAGAGCCGGTCCCTGGGATTCAAGAAGAAAGGAGGCTTCAGGCACATGGCGTTTGAGATTCCATGTGCTCGGCGGGTGATTCCACTGGCCGTGGCGCGCACCATGTCTCCCACAAACGAGCAAAGGGAGATGCTGCAGCGGATCCTGGAGGATTACAACACGGAAACCGTCCGGAAAGCAGCAGCCATGCTACAGGAGAACCGCCTGCCATACGCTGATGCCCACAAGGGTGCTATTGGCTGGCTTCTTGATGTGCAGAAGTCTCGCGGAGTATTGCTAAAGTCCAGCGCTGTTAGCGACACAAAGCGACATAACATCCAGACTCATATCGCAGCGTCAGCCTTCATTGGATGTCTGAAACAACTGCGCTCGGGCGCACTTTCGAAGCTTCTCGAAGGGGTTAAAGAGGGCAAGGAGTTCAAAGAGTTGGACCGACAGTGGAGAGAACTGTGCGATCCCAAAATTTATTTGCGTCCACAGAAACCCCCGAAAGCGGGCAATATCGCTGTCGCGGAGAAGTTGTTCGAGGAACTCGGCCTGACGAAGGGTGATATGTCTAGAAAGTACCTGGCGCCAAGTGATATTCCTAAAGAAGTCTATACGTTCCGAGATCTCCAGGTGGAGAAGAAGACTTCAAAGCAGGATCCGAAGAAGCAAGAAGGGATCTTTACAGATGTAATTCCGAGATCTGTTCCAAAATTCAACCCGAAGACCCAGAGAGAGCCGGGCGAGTTAGATCCCCCGAAATCCATATCCTTCTCCAACTTCGTCCACACCATCTTGCCTACTGCCAAGGAGGTCGAAGTTAAGCTCCAGCAAAGAGAATATCTCTACTTCTTGATTAGCGGCTATCCTGGCTCTAAGCCCCTGATGCAATGGCACACTAAAGTCAACCTCGTCAGCCCATTCACCTTCACCAGCCCAGTATCCACATCCAGATACAATCTGTACACAGGCTGGAACCGAGTTACCGCCGTGGTGCCATTCCCTCACCTCTGGGATGCTGCGCCAGCAGCGAAGACCTTCCCGTTGCTGCCAGCCGATGCCTCTGAGTTCCAGCATTACCACCGTAAACACGGGTTCAGGTACCTCGTTTGTCTTGACGGCATTGAGGAAAAGACAAAGAAGGTCGGCCTCTGCTTGTTCCCGGCGATGCTCAAGTCGCAATTCCACTCTGTGCGCGCGACCATCGAGGCGTATAGTGCTGCAGGCACGATTGAGGAGCCTGCAGGAAATTATGTGGGGGGTATCTCTGTGAGTCGCTCGAACAACGAACACACTAGGCGTTTGTATAGGGTGACAGATGAAGATGGGGATAGGAAATTGTACGAGACAGTGATTTTCGAGTAAACGGTTTGAGGTTATGAATCTCAGAGGACGAGTATAGGTAGGTTCGAGTGGAACAAGGCTTGGTGTCTAATGGGGGCAGACAGTCGGCAAAGTTTAGGCTCGTAGTATACATGTGTATAACTTGCCGTGGAGTTCTAAATTCTGTGAAGGCGAACACTGGAGAAACTGGGGAAGAGGGAAGAAGTTATTTGGCGCGCAAATATTAGGATGGCTTTGTACTGTCCCTTCTTCTCCCTCCCAACTGGCCAAGCTGGGCGAAAAGCTTCAGTGAACAGGGCTTAATTCTTAAAGGATGGTGGTACCACGAGAAGGACTTTTGGTGCTCTGCTGAGCACTTACGGAGGCGTGGAACAAGGTCGCAGCACATGGTAGAAATTCAAATGGAGATCTCCATGCCGGAGTGGAATGTCTGGAGTTAATGGGGCGGGACGCCTAAACTTCACGGCCAAGTTTTAAAGCGAAATGCCCCTAAACCAGCCCCAAATATTTTTGGAGCTTGGTCAACGGGGATGTTTAGAGGTTTGCTTGAACTAATATCCCAAGTCTGGATGCCCTTTCAAGTTTTAACAACCCCAGTACTTTATCTCGGCCGCCCTTTCATCAATCATCCTTCTCACCACCATTTTTCACATTAGGCATCACTGAACGAGGTTATAAATGGGTTGTCCGCAGTTTGAGTATCATTCCCTTTATTCACGAAAATCAATCAGACAGAACCAACACATTCCTGCTCCTTTCCTTTTTATTGGCCATGAAACTCCATCCCAGGGACCCAACCGCCGAGCCAAGAGTCACATCAACATCACTGCCCCGGCCAAGATATTAGCGGAGCCGAGAGGGAAAGGATCTTCCCAAGGTTTGATAGGCTCGTGATATGGAGCAATAATCAAGAGCATTTTTGAGGCTCCAACGCGGTCGGTCTCCACAAGGCTGACCCATTCTCAAGCAAGCGCGAAAAGAATACGATCTGGTGCTTGGTGGGTACAAGCCGTTCAAAGAATGCGGTTCGATATGTAAATGATTTAAAGCTCCCCCCCCCCCCCCCCCCGGCTGAGTATTGAATTCAGAAGGTAGAATCTTTCCATCTTTCAGTGGCCTTTGTTCGTGCCTGTTGCAAACTCCTAGCGCTACATACCGTGCCCAACTTGTATATCCTTGAATAAAAGATAAAAGTCAATATGAAACTCACCTCCCTATCCATCTTTTCTCTCCTCGCAACGCCGATCCTCGCCATAAACGGCCGATGCGATGCGGGATCCGAATGGGGCTCGCGCCCAGACTGCATCTGCATCGACCACAATGAGTGCACGAACAGGTGGAAGGGCCACGCCGTCCAAGGCTCCCCGGGTAATTGGCCTTGTCCATGGGACGGCGGGAATGTTTGGGGTTGCATGGTTGGCCACCCGTGTGTGACACATGATTCTTATTGCGGGTGGAGGAGCGTTTGCACGGGAACCGGCCGGTATTCGGGGATCGTGTTGCCTGGTAAGCCGGGTTTGCAGTTTGCACCCATAGAAATCATATAAGTACAGATTAGTTAGAAGTTGGACAGCCATTTGAGCTAACATGTTGCGTCCGCGCGGGAATATCTAGATCCTGTTTGCCCCGGTGGGAATGATTTCGTTTGCTGCGATATGCATGGGTAGAGTGTGGAAATTGAGGAATGGGTGGAATCGTGCCAATTAACTACCTGGGGCTCTCTAAATGCCAAAGTTCTCTTCTAGTTGTTTCACACTATATCATACAAGTCGCAATCGCTCGCTTGCGCTCGCTTATCCAGCTTGAAAACTCACAGTCTAATCCCTCAAAAGGAACATAACTTATGAAATATATAAGCAGCTATATATGACTTGTATAGATGAATTCTATATAATTTATAATTATTAATAGAGAATAATTATATGAATGAATCCCTTGCAGTGTACCCACTGACCCTTGCCTTCAACCCATTTGACCTTATTGTTGGAGACAGGTGAGAAATCAACTGAGGGATTGAGTTCTTGAGAGTCAAATGCCTTTATGACATATTAGACAAGCCATTGTCATAGAAGAAGTTACATACCATCAAGATATCATCTTGCCTATGCCAGGATACCATAGGGACGACCCCGCGCGATTGCGCCTTCTCTTGGGTAACGAATCCGAGCCGGAGTTGTACCTCACGGAGTCGGGAATAGAAAGTTTCGAAGTTCGTTAGGGATGCCGGGTTGTAGGAGTTTGAGAGAAATACGACACTCAGCACATCGTGGGTATAGAAGATTGGCAGAGCTGTTCAATTTACGGATTCAAAAATGGTTGCGCCTGAAGACGCTTGAACATGGTGACTTGATGTGATTTCAAAAGGATGGCGGGGTTGAAAGTTATCTCAGCAAGCTCAGACGTTTCACAGGATAATTGCTGTTTTAACACTGACTTGATGGTTTCAAAATAGTTATTACACTAATTGTATTGCGCTAGTTGTGCCTGGCGGCCAGACGAAGGCATAATAAAGAGAGAAGAGATTGTCCGCTGAATGGGCTGGAATAGAATACCTTAGGCCGCAGATAGCTAGAAAAAGCAATGACCTACTCTCTCTTTTGTTCACAATGTGCTATCTTGAAAACTCAAAGCTTAATGTTCGAGCAACATGTGCAATGATGTTTCGACGGAAGGGAAAAGAGGAGAATCTGTGGATTTTGTTTTCTGCCTCGAGGTGTTCGTGATGAATCTGAGGTGCCTCGGAAATTTCCAGTGCTGCAGAAAGCGCAACAGCGATAGTTTGCGCCTAACCCTTGTGCCACAAACAAGGGTTCCCGGCCTAAAATATGAACGATCGTTCACACGATCATACCGACCAGTATTGCCCGTACTCCGGTTTAGCCCTCCCTTGAGCAACATGCATCGTCCGCACACAAGTTTATGTGGATTATTGGGAAAAAAACTTGTTAATAGGTTCTCCCTTATTACGCAGCACGTATCAAATATGTGAATGATGTCTACAGAGTAAATTCCACAGAGTTATCCGGCCAATCCAAGGATTTCTTGGCCGTCGATCTCTCAGATAAGACGTCAGGAACCAGCGTTGTATTCCTCCTGCAGTCACTAGCTGCCACCCAGGAACGAGTCAGGTCCAATCACGGCATAGCTTGACCCCTTTTCAATCTGACATCTCATAACTATGACAAGAAGCAAAGTCAACCTTTTCGAAGCATGGGTCAGGGGATTCCCGCAGGAATACGGAGCCGAGGGACATTGTAAATATCGAGGAAAATCTTTATCTTTGTCTTCTGCCTTGTTCCCATTTGTTCCGTAAGCCTCGAGCTTTTCTTGAATACAAATGGTCCAGCGTCCTTCCTCTGCCATCATTGCCCTGTTGTGGCTCTTTGCGCTTGTGGACGGGCAGGAGAACCCCAAGGATGGTTCGACTCTTCCCCCGGCCGAAGTCCTTGGAATGGGACTCTCCCCCGCCAGTCCGTTGTTTGCACGCGGCATGCTGCATATTAGACAAGTATATACATGTGTAGATGCCGGGTTTTTTCCATGCGATCGTAGGTTTACGACAACATGACCGTCACTCGTTGTCCTCGAGGTTGATGAGCAAATACTAACAAGGGTTAGATCACCGCGGTTGCTGCAAATCCGGATGGGGTTGTTGCCCGACAGAGTGTTGCCCGCCGGGCACGAATTGCTGCAGAGGAGGCGGCTGCGTCTATCCAGGAGGCCGATGTTGCGGTGGCGGATCTTCATGCCCACCTGGCTCAATTTGTTATCAGGCCGCTGGGACTTGGAAATGCCGAAAACCTTGCCCGCATGTAACAACTGATACCACCACTGTCACGAGAAGTCTGGAATTGACGACGACAACAACAACAACAACCAAAACGGTGCCGCCAGGAGGGGAGCCGTCAGGATTCAGCTGCACCCCAATGACCGTGACAAACTCTCTTGGAGATTCGCTCGAACTTGGGGATAACTGCGCGTTAAGATACTTCCATGCCAAAACAGCCACCTCTTCCGAAGCGGCCAGAGCGCTGCGTATAAGACAAGGCGACTGCCCACCAACTCGGACAACTTCGACAGTCTATGCAACTGAAGGCGCTGGCGGCTTCATGACAGTCACTGCGACAGTCACAGGAAGCAACTCCGCCCCGCCTGGCTTCTCGTGCACCCCCATGACCGTGACGAATGCGGCGGGTGATGAGCTAGTCATGGACGATAAGTGTGCCACACAACTGGCCACAGCGGCGCCAAAAGGAGCATCCCAACCGGGCACCGCTGGGAGAGGCGATATCTTCGTGGCGACGCGTTATGCTGTTTTGGGAAGCATTGCTGCTCTTCTGATAGGCCTGTATATAGATAATTAGCAAGTCTCTTCGATATGTATGTATCGTTACAAAGGATAAATAATATAATAATATATATCAATACTATACCATCAATGAGAAAATGCTGTATCGAGATTGACAAGAGAGTTGGACGAAGAATTTCTCAAGGCGATAAGGTTAGGCAGACGAGCGAGATGCGCAGAGTTCTAGGCATTGATCGTTGAGCGGCGGGATAGCTATATTAACTGGCTTAACTGAACTTGGGTCCGTCGGAATATCATCCATGGGTTTTCTGGCTTTTCCTGTATTGAAAATTAGGCGAACTTTTTTGGCTTTTTCTTCGCGAGACATCATCCTGAAATCATCAAGACCATTCGCAGCATCTCCAACCATCGAGGTGAAGCGAACTGATATGCTGGCCAGCTAACTTGGTCAATTGGCCAACTGATCCAGGATGCATCGCATGATATGTCTAGCTTTCTGTTGATAGATAAATTACTAGTATTGCACCAACAAACTTCTGCTTGTGTCTCGCAGCCCGGATTTGCGATGTACTGGATGTAAGTTCACCACCAATCGCAGAGTCTACGTGCCTGTACATTTTGCTGAAGGACCGTTTTCCCTCGTTGAATAACTTGTTGCTCAAAAGACGCGGAATGGCCAGTCGGATTGCCGGTGTGGGGAATACGAAAGGGTGTTCAACCACCGCTCCACATCTGCTGCGGCTATCTCTAGCACGATGTGGTTTTCGCCATGACATCGTTTGACCCTAAAGAGGAGTGATGTACCTTTTAACAGGCTAGGGGATCCAATCTGGGTGGAGATTGAACAAGGCGGATGTCCACTAGTTATTGGCTTCAGGGAGATTGGGAGCATTGGATGGATATCCGGCTCCGCTCCACATTAGCAGGTGTCCTTTTATGGTAGAGGTCCAGGCATCCATCATGGAGGCTATCCAGCTACGGGATGAGACTAATCGGCATCCCAAGGTGACAGAATCTATCTCCCCTTCGGAAAAGTCTCTTCTGTTAAAACGCCATGCCGCTTCAATGGCTGACACTAAGCAAGTGACTCTGACAACAACTCCAACCCAGTTCCATCTCATCCTACGGAGTAGAAACTTCCAAATTGGACACGCGCGGTTAAACTTTACGGGAACACTTGCTGTTTCGATGACACATCCATTTGGCATGAATTTCGTCTACTTCCAATGCAACAAGGGGCCATGTGTGAAACTATTCTGGAAGAGAATGCTGAACTTTTCGGCAAACCGCTTGAGGTTCCTCGACCTATTGGAAACGAAAGCTCCCTGGTCGAAATCAAGAAATCATGTCTACTTCCTAGAAATGAAGGTATGCTCCGAATATCTTATGGTTACGGGAAATTGTTGGAGCTATACACGGCGCAGCAGTTGACAATTCCAGCCGACAACCTCGACGCTTCCTCTGGAATTCTTCGTGTTCTTGCTGGCTACCTGGGGGACACCTTTATGAGCGGCTTCCCAGCTGCATCTCCCTATCTGGTCTTGCTGTGGACCTCTGTCTATCCAGTAACTCAAATGAAATTGAGCAACGATGTCTTGATCGAGATGGATGAAACGATATCATTCCCTAGTTGGTTCTTGACCGGTTTGTTAGGGGCCGTGGAATACCGCCTGCTCTAGGAGTCAATAACAGTACCTCCGATTCGGAATTCCGACACTCAATACCATGGTACGTTGGCGAGAATCCTTGGATAGGCCGATCGGGTAGACTCCACGGGAGTTTCAATCAATCCGGCTATCTTCTCGACATCTGCAGCTTAGAGTTCGAGGACGAACAAAAAAACATTTCCGGTCCGGATTTTGGGACCTGATGTGCTACAGTTCTAGAGCGACGTTGTTAATATTTCGTGTTTCCAATTGCCCACAGCGAATGCAGTACTTTATCTAACTAAACGAGACCACGTCCACACACAAGGACAACAAGCCGTTGTTCGGCTTGAGGATAGGCGAGGTCTCCATTGTGGTATGGTATTCGGAACGAGGGGCTGCGTTCGACGACATTCGCGAAACATACCAAAGCGATAAAGATTGCCACCCTCGGACTTTGCGAACTAGTCACTATCAAAGCCTGCAAATGTAGATGCGCATGAGCCACGGTGCAGTTTCCAGAAAGTTGAGGGCGAAATTGACATGTTTGATAAGAATAGTTCGGACAATTGGGAGGGGTAGTTGTGAGGTCTCTACCTTGGCTGTTAAACGGGACTCTGAGCCTGGTGAGATGGCTACCTGAGCCTAGGTCCATATTGAAGCTTGAAGAGATGGGCGAAGATGCGCGACCGGAGCGAAGGCATATACAACTTGTCCGAGGGGTGTTCGACTCATTTTTCTGATGCCATTGCAGTTACACAGAAGATTTCTGTTGCGTCCCTCCGCTGCCGAACATGCATTAAGAGCTGGAATCCCCTAATATTTTTTCCTTCTTTTTTCCTTTTTCCTTTCCCTTTCTTTCCTTTCTTCCCTTCTTTCTTTTTTCCATTCTGTTTTGTGTTTCTGATAAATTATTTTTAAAGTGCGACAAGCGAAGAACAGAAAACGGGTTGTTTCAGCACTTCCGTCCGCTGGCAGAGCCTCCCGCCGAGCCCGGAAAAATAGTTCATGATATGCCCTTATTTTCTTTCATTCATCAGAATTTGGTGGAGATCAGGCGGAAAACGACCTATTTTAGTTTCGTTGCAATCTGGCTCAATTACTCCGATGGAACAGAGTTGAGAGAGACCGCTCCTTGACATATTTGGAAGCATTCAGGGGGGTGAACTGACTTCCCCACTCAACCGGGTTCTCTCTGCTGCAGATTGGTGGGATCTACATGTTTATTTCCAACCAACCCCCTCGCTGTGGGTAAAAAGGGGACCTTGTGGCCCAATAATTGGAAAGCAATCTGGCATTCTGTGGCTGTCGAAATGTTTTGTGTCCTTGTCCACGCTTTCCATCCGCTCCCATGGCGATGATGTCAATGGCGGGGTGTAGAGGTTATTTTCGCGCAAATGTTTCATGCCTCAACAACATGACTTCAGTAGGTAAGATACCAAGGTGTATAGAAAACCCGAGACGGGGAACTTGATGCTGCTATTCCTTTGGTCATGGCGTGCTTTTCTGATAACTTTCTTTGTAAAGCCACAACAGGGCTTACGATTGCTGCCCAAACCAGCCGCTGAAAACTCTAAGGCAGCATTCAGGTTACCGAATCGAAGGCTCTCATGAACTCTCTATAAATACCCATAAGTGTGTTCTTGTTCTTTCCTAGCTGTCCATTTTGTTTGCGTTTCAAGCTAACGGGGACTTCCATGTGCTACGGATATCCGTCCTTGCCCGTTTGCCTAAGTTTGGCCTGAAATATTACGATTAATAAAGGACCTGAGAAAATATATTCGTTTACAGTCGCATACTGATTGTTATTGAAAAAAAAAAAAAAAAAAAAAAAAAAAAAAAAAAAAAAAATGGCTACTGAGAAACCATCGATAGGTTTCGTCGGCCTGGGCCTCATGGGCTTTGGCATGGCCACCAATCTGATCAAGCTAGGTTATGTCGTCAAGGGATATGACATCCAGGAGACAACAATGGCCCGCTTCAAGGACGCTGGCGGCCAGATCGCTTCGTCTCCTGGAGGTGCCGCGGGTGGGAATATGTTCTGTGTTTGCATGGTCGCTACCGCTGCTCAGGCACAGGTCGCCATTTTTGACCATGAAAATGGCATTGCGAAGGGTATTAAATTCTGCTGCTCTCAATGAATTATTTTGTACGTACTGTACATGTCTTATTCTTTTAGCACAGCTAATATGTTGCCGATAATTTCTTTCATAGGTCTCCCCAGTGGCGCTACCCTCATTCTGTGTTCCACTGTTTCAGCCGTTTCCGCGCAGTCGTACCGTGATCAGCTCGTGTCAATTGGCCGCGAAGATGTATACTTTATCGACGCACCTGTGTCGGGCGGAGCCCGGAAAGCCGGAGAGGGTACTCTCACAATAATGGCAGGCGGCTCAGATGCAGCGCTTGAAGAGGGAAAATTCCTCCTTACAGAGATGGCGGATACGAATAAACTATACTTTGTGCCTGGCGGAGTCGGCGCGGGCAGCAACATGAAGATGATCCACCAAGTGTTCGCTGCTATCCATATACTCGCGGCCAGTGAAGTCATGGGGTTTGCTGCACATTTGGGGTTGAATGCCGAAGAAGCGGGCAAAGCAGTTACATCATCCCTTGCATGGAGCTTCATGCATGAGAACCGCTGCGAGCGTATGCTACGAGAGGATTATTATCCAGGAGCGAGTGCTATTACTATTATTCTAAAAGATGTGGTATGGTTGTTAATTCTGCCTTCTACGACTATGCCGCTACAGCTAGTTTTCTCCCTAACTGACTGGTCTGTCGAAAAACAGGGCATCGTCACCGCGGCTGCACGCCTTCATAACTTTCCCACCCCACTCTGTAGCATTGCGGAGCAAATATTCATCACCGCCCTCCCTCTCGGCTTCGGCGGTGATGACGACGCCAGTGCCGTGCGCCTCTACTACCGAGATCCCATCACCAATGCTGAGCCGAAGGCGTCCCTCAACCCCAAAAGCAACGCGGCGGCGCTCAAACTCATCGTCAATTTACTTACCAACATCCATCTAATCGCTGCCGCCGAAGCCATCGCTTTCGCCCGACTCCTCAAAGTCGATCTGCAACTGGTCTACGCCGTCGTCAACGCTGCCGCGGGCGCGAGTACAATTTTCAAACTTCGTGGTGAGGGAATGATCGCAGAATTGACTGGTGGGTTTGACAGTGGCAGCACGAAGACGGTGAATGAGGCCACGGCGGAGCTTGCCGCTGTTGTTCAGGCAGCGAGGGATGTTTATTGCCCGCTTCATATGGGGAATGCTGCGCTTAATATACTTTATTTGGCTCAGAAGCAGGGGCTGGGTGAGAAGACTGATTCGCACATTTTGCGGGTTTATGAGAATGGAGAGTGAGAAACTGCCGGGCTGGTTGGTTGATGGGGAGATTCTCATTGCCATTTCTCTTACCCAATATACGTTGCGGCCTTCTGTATTGCGGCTGTCTTCCCCCTATATCCTACATTCGATAGCCAATTTTGGTTTTCTCACTTCTTTTTGGATGTTCCACATAGAAATTATGCATATATCCACCGATGAGTCCCAGGTATTATTGAATTAGAGTATCAATGGAAAGATATGATTTTAGTCGCTTTTGTCTCCTTTCTGAATCTCTATTTCGAACATTTCAAGAAGACCAAGAGGTGTCAAGATCATCCAATCGGTAACATGGATCACTATATATCTGCTATTTCTGTATAAAATTAATGGTGGCCAACTCTTGTTATTCTAACATCTATGAAAATACTATGATATGTAATTTGCCGATTCAGATATATATATTATAAATAAATTGTTTAGAATTTAAAATATCAGGTATGTTGCCGAGCTACAGTCTGTATTATTATGTGCTTTTATTTTCATAAATTATATACAAATTATGTGAGATTTTATTCAGATTACAGTGCTATATTTATCTGATAGTTTTATATATTTTATTTCACTTTATAATTGATTCTATATGTAAATTGTAATAGAAAATAATGCATGTAAAAAATAGTTATTCAATATTATAAAATGATCAGGTTTTCTCAAGCAAGCGGAACACAATAGTGATCTGAATACATATCCTAAATTTATCCGAGAAAATATTCTTGAAGTTCACATGTAATGCCCTTTCTAGAAAAGCAGAAACTTTTAAGTTATATATATTTGATAGGTGATTTTAAATTACCACATCTAAATTTACTATAACAACTCGTGTTTGAGATATGAGTATCAAATTTATGTCAATTTGTATCGGAAAATGCGGGCGTTGCATATGTTTATAGCCGCAAATCCGCCGTCCTCGTTCGTCAGCACTCGATGTGCCTTAATCTTCCCCTCTGCAATCAGCTTCTCTGCAATGTCTCCAAAACGGATCCCGTACTCGATATCCCCCGGTTTAGGAGGAAAGGAGAACTCGCCCACCCTGAATTCTTCGTTGGTCATAGTGTACACTACCGCGGCGCTGGACTCAACATCCTTTCGCTCCATCTGGGGGAATTGCGTAGCCATGTACTTGCCACCCGGCTTGGAGGCGAGGGCGTCAGCGCATACTGCAGCTGTTTCGGGAATTGAAATAGTGTCGTAAACGAGATGGAGGTTGTCGTTGGTATATTCGCGGATTTTTTTGCCAACGCCCTCCTCGTGGGAGTCGAAAACTACGTCTGCGCCCAGTTCCTTCACGTACGAGAAGTTCTGCGGTGAGCAGGTGGTCAGAACTGTGTAGCCAGACCTGTTGAAATGGTTAGCCGTATCGTCGCAACCACAATAGGCAGGTCGTTAGCCAATGTTTATGGATATGGCAAACGCTCATCATACTGAGTCGGTGTAGACGACATACAGCTTTGCAAACTGAATAGCCAACACCCCCCGTCGCCGAGCTTCCTCCATAAATAAGCACGGGAACGGCATTTTTAACAGGCTCAGTCGGCAGCGCCATCTGCAGGATCCCCTGATACAACCCCTGAGCCACTGTGTACAACCCCATGGGCATTGATGCCGCCTGAATCATACGCAACGTGTCCGGCGCCCGCAACAGCAGATCACCTTGGAGATTACATATTCAGCAAAGGCGCCCTTGGTCGGCTTCATTTTGTTAAGCCAAGGTTGAAGCCCATCACTTTGTCTCCCTTGGCGAATTTCTTGATAACAGCAGGACCAACTTCTTCGATTATGCCGGAAAAGTCGCAGCCACCTAGTGTGCCGGGGACGGTTTTGTCCGAGCCCAAATTCTTCCAGTCCGCCGGGTTGAGGGCGACATGGATTGTCTTGACGAGGACGTGGTCGGGTAGTAGTAGATCGGGAAAATCATTAGATACGAGCATTTCACAGTTGGGCCCTGATATGAGTGCCTTTTTGAGTTTTTGGAATCGCCATTGGAGCAATTTGATACAATAAGATTTAGATATGCAAACACCAACTAGGTGTGGGACATAAAGAGGTTGTTGGGAAATTAATATATAAATTGTGTTGATATAGGAAGGCGAGAGAGTAAGTTCAACTGCGCTGAAGGAGGGGGAGAAGTGTCGATATATATATATATATATAAAGAGGTTCGATGAGGAGAAGCTCCAGAAGCTACCATCATTTTCCTTTGGAAGTCTCCCAGTACTTCGCATTCTAGTAGTACATGAGTTGTGCAGAGTCACTATCAAAAGTTTTGGCTCACTCAAGAAGCATACAACATATCTACTGTTAAGTTGATCGGCGACACGACATGATGACCAATCGATCATGTTGACAATTTGCGGATTCCACAAGCTCCGAGATACTCCTCAAATTGTGCTGGCATGCCGGACAAGTTCGCAAACGCAACATGACTATCAGGCCGCAATAGATATGCAGCGTCTCGAGCGAATCCCACTCCTTTACAGTCTTCTGTCCAGTCGAAAGCATGCAGTGCAACGTCCTTGTCTCTGCACCATGCTATCATCTCCTCCTTGGGGGTTCCGTAAACATGAACTTGCCACGCGATTTGTGATAGTGCTTCATAGTTATCTAACCCAATGGCGGTTGTATAAGGGAGCCGGTCCCCGCCGTGCACCTGGCCCGCGACGCCTCCGACACATGACGTTCCGCGGTAGGTTATGTGCGTTTGCGAAAGTATGCGAAAGGCATAATCCGTAGCTCCTGGTATTCGCATAGCCACGGGGAGGATCCAGGGTACGATATAAGAGCGCGCGATATCTGCAAGAAAACCCCCAGATGTTGCGATGGAGAAAGCTTGATCCGTCCTCTGTATCAACGCTCGCGCAAATGGAATCCTCTCTTCCTCGAAGCTATCCAGCAGTGATGGATCGGCGTGGCCTTGCAATACCGCCGCCAATTTCCAAGCCAAATTGACCGCATCGCCGATTCCGGTGTTCATTCCCTGCCCGCCTGCGGGGCTGTGAATATGCCCCGCATCACCCACGAGAAACGCTCTGCCACTCCGAAATTTGCTCGCCACCCTATGGTGGACGCGATATGTTGAGAACCAGTCGACTTTCTCTACTTTGATTTTCAAGCTGTCTATAGCGGTACCCAATACGTCTTCAAATGCCAGTGTTTCCGGAGGGACATCGGGTTTTTTATCCACCATACCAACTACTCGCACGCGCGAACTGTCGTTGTATGCGAAGATGAGGAGGAAGTCGGAGGAATGGAGACTGACATGGACCTCTCCGTTGATGGCAGGTCCGCTGGCCTCGATGTCCGCAACGTAGAATCGGGACTGATAAGTCCCACCTGGGAAGTGTATATCACTGAGCCCATTTCGCACAGTCGACGATGCACCGTCGCAGCCGATGATGTACTGTGCCTCACAATTCTCCTCCCGCTCCTGTGTATCATTGTGAAGGACGGTGAACGAGACATGGTCGCCATGGTCTTTGAAATTTACTAGCTCCCTATTCCGCTCGACCGTGATGCCAGCTTCCGCCAGCTTTTCCTCCAGCAGCTTTTCATGTCGGTCCTGTGGGTAGACGTGGACGAATGGGTAAGGTGTGACGCCCTTTCCGATATCGCCAATCGGTAATCGCACTCTATGTTTCCCCTGGATCCAAAGGTTTGCGGCTATCATCTGCTTGCCGCCAGCAATCACCTCGTCAGCCAGGCCCAGTTTTTGGTACAGCTCAAGGGAGCGAGCGTGCATGACGATGGCGCGTGAATTGGAAGCCCTAAACTCGCCCTTATCGATTATCCGCAGCCCCACGTTTTGTCTCTGCAGCCACGACGCCAGCACCAGACCTGAGGGTCCACCGCCAACAATCAACACCGGGATTCGATTCATTTTTCCAAAAGCCAGGGCTCAGAAGCGTAGTCGGGATTGTGGACCAAAAGGTAAGGGATATAGCTGTCGCTCAACGAGGAGTAGAAAGCCAGGCTGCCACATCCGGCCTTTTAACTGAACCATGGAATATCATGTTGAGTAGCACAGAATAGTTCTTGAGGATAGATCGTAGAGTTACACCTCTGTAGCCATCGGACATCGCCTGCCCCGAAACGCCGACTTTCGCCTCCCGCTGCACATCCAGCTGGAAAAGCCAATAGATCCTCGCTGAAGAGTGAGATTCAGCGACAAAGAAGAGTACCAAAGGTACGCAGCAGATAGAGGAATTGTCGGCAAAAGAACAAACATCCGTCCGCTTGAAAGTTAAGGCTGCTTCTCTTCAAGGAATTGGCTCAAACTGTCCGATGCTGAGAAAAGAGTTCAAACTAGTTGAAGCGGGGGTGGCTTGAGCCTTAGACCACAAAAATGCTCAAAACACTTATAAAAATGCACACAAAGGTTCGAGAGCTGTCTAATTGGATGGCGAATGCCATACTTGATATGTGAACTATATACAGATTATATGCTTGGATAAATGCAGTCTCTCAAATAGAGCAAATACTGAGTAGCGAGCTTGGAGGCTGGGGGAAAGTTTCATGCGGAGGATGAGGATGCCTCGAGGGTGATACAACTGCATCAATTTATGTGAATATCTCAGTACAAATACACTGCAGTTAGTGGATAAAGGTGTAATTCATATGTTAGAAGAAATACAGTATTATGCATCTCATTTTTGCTGAAAAATATCAAGTATAAGATGAGACCTGAAGTGTAACTATTGGTTAGATGAAATTATAACTACATAATTATTATTATGTAACCTAACTATTGTTTGTTTATTTTTCAGTCAATTCTTATATACCAAATCTCATGATATATACAAGATATATAGGACATTATAAATTACACATAAAAAATAAAATATGGATGACGTGCTGTTATATCCCTATTGAAAATTCTCCTTTTTGTGTGAGATAGTGGAGTTTGAATCTGTTAGAATTGGAGCTAAAAAGGAGAGTCAATTCCCGGTATTAAGTTCACAATTTTCATGTGTTGAAACACGTACGGAGTACTCCGTACTCTGAGCATTGACATTTCTCAGGATCGAAGTAACTGGCCACATAGGATGCAGACCGCACTCCCTTGCATGTCTCAGCATCCAGCATCTGCACGAACCCCTCACTGGCCGCTGCCCGCAGGGATGCCGCACCAATGCCTGACAAGCCTCATAAAACCGTTCATGTAAGTGGCAGGTCAACAGAAGCTAGGCCAGTTAATATTCGGCACAAGCCCATTCTTAGTGGGAGGGGCAGGTCCAACGATCATACAAATAGCTGCTCTCATCTTGTCGACCGCGCGGCCGTGGCAATGAATTTTTGGATCGCTTCTGTGATTCGCAGCTCGTATCCTACAGAGACAGAGCTAAGAGACGGCGTCATGTAGGTCTGTCATCCTCCAGGGCCAACTTCGCTGAAGCGGTGCCAAAGCGGGCTTGAGGTAGCTATCCAAGTCGTTTTTCCATCATTATTATTCTGCGATTGAACTGCCCGAGCTCTAGAATAGTGTGGATGGATGAACACTGAAGCTCAAGAATGGGCCATAGAGATTGGAGGGGATCTCCCTTCCGATGCTTCGCACAGTCCATGGACCATCTTTCTAGCTCCGTGTAGATTGGCTTTGTTACTGAGCTTGATAGCTGAGCAGTCCCTTCAAGATGGTGATGACACATCCGGTCCATGGGCTTGAGCGGGGATAGCACCATGAGGCCCACTTTTGAAGTCACTGGCTGAAATTCCCGCTTCCAGCATCAGTTTGATGACGATTAGATTAATAACTATTAAAGAGTCAACAAAGCAGCCAGCGGCCGTTTGAAACCCGGCGAGTTTTGGCGTGCAATTTCGCTATGTGAAGCAAGAGAGTTACCCTGTCTAACTTCAACACGGCAGGGGAGTTCATCTTATACAGCGAGCCCCAAATTCTAATTGTCGCCTTGTCGCCTTGACATGCGGGAATGGACTGTTGATCGTGACGTAATGGCTGCTTCAAGTTTCCAAGCTTTCTGCGTCTGTCTCGTTAAGAGCAAGGGTAAGTCGTGGTGGACAGTTAATTGCTGATCGTGGAGGGCCTTGTGCGCTGTGTGCTGTGTCGATGGAGTCGTTCATCCGCCCCTTAGTTATATATGGAGGGCATTCCCGCAACCCGCCATAAACTTCCATTTTCCTGTTTGCATATACAAGTGTCAATGACAGATTTTCAGACGGTCGTCTCCGTAACTACTACATTAATAGGAAAATCCATTGCCTTTGTTGTCTACTCTACTGTAGCTGTGTGTGTCATGATACCAGCAAGATTAGAGCCGAAACAAGTCATCACTAGTAGTAAAAACAATGTTAGAATTCCTTTATATGCAGCATTTCGTCAGCTCCTCGTTTGAAGTAGCACCAAGGTATGATATCACCTAGTTCAGCTCATTTTGTCTTTGGACTTGCTGAATTTTGACTGTCTTGCCAAAGATATACAAACCTACGCCCCGTCAAGATCAAGGGTTCCAATATCATCTGGTACGTGATCATTTATACCCAACCTTTTGCCCCATATCTTACAATTTCACAACTGAAGGATGTGCCATAACAGCTCAGCCAGCGATACCCTGCTCGGCATCCAAGTCGCAATTAAGAAAATATATCAACCCTTCGCCCGCTCCGACCTGTGCCAGAGAGCCTATCTAGAACTAAAGCAGTTGAAACTTCTTAAGCATGAAAATGTCCTTCCTCAACCCAACCCCCTTTTCCTACGAACGAGCATTTGCACCATTTGTATCGACTCCCTTACTAACTTGTGTGCCGTTTTCTTTCCTACTAGATCGCTGGCTTGCAGGATGCGTTCCTGTCATTCGGAGGGAATTTGTAAGCACGTCCTTGATCCTCGACTTGCTTTGCAAATCTCAACAGGCAATTTTTGAGCTTACCGGAACGTGTAGATATCTCATATCACAGCACCAAGGCATGACTCTTGATCAATGTCTTGCATCCAGTACGCTCCAGCAATGTGCAAGAGTTTTCTTCTATCAACTCCTGGTATGTGCTGGCCCTCCAGATCCACTATTTCTAGCTTGCCAATAAGTGACCTCGCTGTTAATCAATTTATCTGCAGCGGGGATTGAAATATCTTCATTCCGCAAACATAGTGCATTGCGACTTGAAACCATCCAGCATCCTCATTACCCGAGGCTGTGACCTGCAAATAACCGGCCTGGACCACTCACGAATTCATGGTGAGAGAGTTACGATAGATCATGTTTACGACAACGCAAACCAATGCTATCAGGCTCCAGAACTCATGTTAGATGCACAGACTTATCACCCTGCCATGGACATGTGGGCGGCGGGCTGTGTCCTTGCGGAAATGATAAATGGCTGTCCCCTATTTTCCGAAGAACGATGCACGAACCAACTATACGCCATTATTAAGTTGTTTGGGTATGCACCAGGCGATCTGATGGATGGGCTCAGTAGTGGGAATGTAAGTATATGCTGCCGAACACTTATGCTAGCCTTACACAGGATGCCGGTTGAGATGGCTAATCTCTTGATCATTGAACAAGATTATTGGTTATTTGAAGTCTTTACCAGCTCGCGATTGGAAGCCTTTGAGAAAGCATATCTCCACGTCCGATAATGAAGGTAGGGAAAGAGGCCCAATTTGCTTTCCTTCTCCATTCCCTCTGTCTTGATTTTCTGTTTCTACCTTTTCCCCTTTCCCCTGCAACGTAGCTAAACTTCAGTTCACCATGTAAAATATACTGGAAGGGCTAATTCGTTTCTAACCCACCTTTATTCCACGAACAGCCCTTGACCTTCTAGAACAACTGCTCGACTTCGATCCATCGATAAGATATCCCGCCGCCCAAGCGATCGAGCATGTATATGTTTCACTTTACCATGATCTAGCGGACGAACTGACGTCTGACAAGACATGGTCAGTCGCCGACTTGGATTATGCCGAGTGGCCGGTCAACGATTGGAAAACCTTGATGTATGTGATGCGTATCCACCATCGCCCAGTCCAGCCTCCCATCATGCCCTCGCTTCCCGCTTTCCCCTGCCCCCTGCCACCCGGACACGTTCGAAACACGGCCCATCGGTTCCCTTGCATGGCCCTATCTAGTATATATAAGAAGGTGGCAGATTTTGCTAACGGTTTGGTGCCTGAAATTCGGCATTTGCTTTCTCTTAACAGTCTCTCCGAAATTGTGGACCATCATGAGCTTAGAAACGGGTACCAGCAGCCGGTGGAGTGTTCAAATTAAGTATGGGAAACGGTGATGATTTAGTCATGATCTAAACTTAGCGTTGTGATGACTGATGATCTTTTTTTCGTCCCTTCATCGGGAGCATACTTTTCTCGGGTGATGTGGGACTCATTTGTTGGGGGGATTGGGTTGGGTGATTCGTACCCTCTATACCACCACGGCGCTGGTGGTGATATGAGCTCTTTTGCCCTAGTGGCCTAATATCATTGAACTTTTGTTGACAAAGCAATAACGATTTCGTGCTGCCACATTTAAATGATTGGGCAACTAATTGGTGGATAGCCAGCCAACCAGCACTGGCTTGCTGTCTGGAGTGTAACTGCCAGTGATAGTTGTTGGATCAAAAAATAAAAACAATAAAGAACAATTGGAAAAAGAATAAGTTGCAGCGCACGAACTCTTATGTTAGATGACTACAGAGATAGCCTGAATTAGAAAGACAGCTTACAAATACAGCTTATGGAGACTCAACTGACTGGGAGAA